CACTTTTTCTTTCTTTTTTGGGTGCTAAGTATAGTTTTGAAATGTATTACTAATTTCTCTAGATTTAGAATTTTAAGCAATATTGCTACACAAAATAGTGTTCTGAGGTACCATTACATTCAGTCTCAACATTGTGAGCATTGTAAGGAATTAACAACATGCACTGGTTGTATACATTTCAAAACACACAACAATAGACAGTGATATCATTCCTGCATGAACAGGACATCATCAGATATAACATCATTAATTCATAGTAACTGAGGTAAAACCCAAGAGTTACTGCAGTCATTTCAAAAAAGTGTGCTTGATGAAACTGAATAGGGGTCAGCTGTCAAGAAATTAATGTTTTAAGGGGTTATATTGTGAGAAATTAAATTTTCCTTTTCAACTCTGATTGTTTCATGGATATATCACAATGTGATAGAAGCTTTGCGAAGAGGCTGTTATTGAAGGATGGGGCAGTTAAAAGCTATATTGGATACGACAGCAACCCTGTGTCATGTATCTTAGCTGTTGCTCATTTCACATGTAAAGGGGTCGTTTCTTAAAAGGGCACAGCAGAAAAAAAAACAGCCGATGTGTTTTTAATGGTCAGAGAGAAGAGGGTAAATGGTCATTGAAAAATGTAATTTAAAAAATATTACTAACACAGAGTCAACCTCAAGGGAAAAAGTTTTTAAATAATAATAAAAAATATTAAAATAAATAAATAAATCAAGTATTTCATAATAAATAATAAAAATATATATGACATTAAAAGATAACGTCCCTAGGTTACGCATGTAACCATAGTTCCCCGAGGGAGCAAGACACTGCATCGAAACGCTTTGGGAACACCTTCACCGTTACCACGCTCTGAATCACGTGTGTAATCAGTCCAATGGATGGACGAGACGTCACGGGCGGGGTGACGTAGAGACCAGGAAGCTTAAAAGCATGTGCGGTGGATACAGCGGCAGCTTCTGGTAGAATGAAGGAAGCGCTCGCAGGGATGCCGGAAGTATGGCAATGAGACGCAGCGTCTTGTTCCCTCAGGGAACTATGGTTACATGCGTATACATCGCCACGTGACCTTGATCATGCGAAGTGGGTTTCCCCAAGGGGAAAACCCCTTGGTCTTGAGCCACCACAGTAGGGGTCTCATGTACAGCAGGCCAAAAGGTATCACGTTGGACGCAGCTGCCATCAGACCCAACAGTCTCTGAAACTGTTTGACAGTGAGTGACCAGCCTTCTCTCACTCTCGCGACTGCCGTGAGGATTGACTCGATCCGAGCAGGAGACAGCTGTGCCTGCTTCATGGTTGAATCCCACACCATGCCCAGATAAGTGGTTCTCTGTACTGGAGAAAGCACACTTTTCTTGGCGTTTAGTCTTAACCCCAGTTCTTTCATATGAGTGAGAACAACATCTCGATACTGAGCCGCCATGCACTCTGATTGAGCTAATATCAACCAATCGTCAATACAATTCAGTTTGCGGATGCCCTGGAGTCGCAGAGGAGCCAGAGCAGCATCCACACACTTGGTGAAAGTGCGGGGTGAGAGTGCAAGGCCGAACGGAAGAACCCGATATTGGTAAGCCTTGCCGCCGAAAGCAAACCTCAGGAACTTCCTGTGTTGGGGAAGGATGGATACGTGGAAGAATTCGTCCTTCAGATCTATCGTGACAAACCAGTCCTCGGACCTGATCTGAGACACGACCTGTTTGAGTGTGAGCATCTTGAACTTCAGTCGCATGACTAAGCGGTTCAGCTGACGCAGATCTAAAATAGGACGCAACCCCCCCATCCTTCTTTAGAACTATGAAGTACCGGCTGTAGAACCCGGACTCTCTGTCGAGAGGAGGGACCACCTCGATGGCCTCCTTCCTCAAGAGAGTGTTTACTTCTCGGCCATATGCCTCATCTTTTCCTTAGCTTTAGACATGATAAAGACAGAAAACAACAAATAAGACTGACACACATAGAGCACTTACTGAATGACAGAAGCTGCCGCTGTATCCACCGCACGTGCTTTTAAGCTTCCTGGTCTCCACGTCACCCCGCCCACGACGTCTCGCCCATCCATTGGACTGATTACACACGTGATTCAGAGCATGGTCACGCTGAAGGCGTTCCCAAAGCGGTTCGACATAGCTGAAGTTCCTGAAGGGGAACTTTGTTTATGGCGTTCAATTACAATAAAATAAAATAAAAACATCCAAATCAGTTCATGTATCACAGTGACTTTTAATGATTTGGCATTTAAACTTCTCTGATCTTCTTTAATGCATTATTTTTATTAGGCTACCACAAAGTTTCGGCCCTGAACAAAGTTACTTACTATACAAAACTTTAGCTCTTGCTGTCTCCAAGCTATTTTAGCCAGCAAAATAATTAGCTTTACTCGATTTGATAATTGGATTGAAATCAATAAATAAATTAATAAATCAAATGATTATTTCCACACTTCTGCTGATTATGTAAAAGTCTGTCCATGTGTGAATGCTTTCAGCAGGCAAACCCAGAACAACATGGGGGTGGCATATCCTGCTGTCTATAAAATGAATCTTCAGCGATTAGGATTTGTACACCTCTTATGAAAGTAAATCAGCCAGAGTGGGAAGAAAAAAGGGCGAATCGAGCCAAGCTGGCAGCAGGGAGTGCTGATTCAGTCCCCCGCGTGCCGTGAGTTACTATGACACTGCAGGATCACGGCTTCTCTCGCCGAAAATCACCACGTTTGATGAAGAGCTTCAATGCTCTTTGGGCCGTGACCCTAAACCCCATAACACAAACCTGCATATCAATGCTAATATTCAAACAATGTAATTCCCATTCTAAAAGAACAGATCAGATCCAAGCTAATGTCTACACAGGAGACTTTGAAGCTTATCGAGATTCGTCTTTGTGTATGTCAAAACGTTGTTTTTTTTAACACCACTGTTATATCTAGACTCTCTAATTCAAATAAACTCTTTAAAAATAACATTAGATTTAAGTGATGGGTAAAGCGTAAGTGCATGACTATAAAAGGAAGAGGTTGTGATATTTAAAAAAAGTTATTTTGAAGATTTCTTTTAATGACCGCTGAAGAGAAAATACCATGGCTATCCTGTTACACAACGGCTCCATCTGTTGAATTGAGCTGAACTCACGTCTGTTTCAGTGAGTCGTGCTTCATAGGTTGATGTAGATAACGCAGTGGGCAGAGGGTTTTCAGTGTGGTCTCTCTAATTGGTTTACTGGGCTTAAAAGTAAAGCTGAACAAACAGAAACATGAACAGTCTGGTCTAAAAATGTTTAATGTGCTTCTAACTGAGGATTACATAAAATAAAAAAAAACTAAAACTAAAAGAGCAAAACTATGTCACTATGTTCATATCCCATCAAGATGCCTTATACTGTGTGTATACATTTATAATGTTACAAAAGCTACAGTAGAGACATTTATAATGTTACAAAAGCTACAGTAGAGACATTTATAATGTTACAAAGCATTTCAATTTCAAATTTTGTTTCAAACTGTCTATTCGTCAAAGGATCCTGAAAAAAATGTATCACATTTCTAGAAAGGTATTAGGCAGGAGCACAACTGTTATTATTAATAATATTTAATATAATATTGAGAAATGTTTTCCTGAACAGATTTCGATTTTCAGTTTGAGGTCTTTATTGTTACATGACTACTACTTTACCAGACTAACTGATTTTCCACACTGCTGAAACCCCTCCTAACATAATCCACCAGGCTCAGACATATCATTTGAGACCACTTATTTATTTTTAAAGGATTTAAACATCATGATTCCCAAAGATTTCCCATGAAGGCACTGTCTGAATGTGAATGAGGATGGTCTGTGTTTAAAATAAATTAACCAATACAGTGCACTTTACTCTTATCTGTCCTTAGTAACAGTAATGGAAAGTATATTTATGGGTTGGTCAAAGCCAAAAAGCTCATTGAGAATATAAACAGAGTAATTAGGAATTGTGTTTTCCACCGTCATGGTCGTGGTTCCACTTGGCCGGGAGCCATGATGTGGTTTATCTCATGGGAATTAGTAGCTGCTTCTGCCTGCTGGAGCTCTGAGGGGAGAGGTTTCGATGGGAAGACGTGGTTCTGCTGGCCTGATTCTCAAGGAAGCACAACATTTGAATGTTCCTCTTAGTAGCTGATCCATATCTGCTGCTCTTGACAGAGGACACATCCAGTTCACGTGGGATGATCCCTTTTCTGAAAAATTGGCTCATAACAACTGCACAGTGTATACAGAGCTGTCAGCACTCAAGAAACATTCCGGGTTTTTTCCTCTGCTTGATGACTAAGCCTCTGTTTTATTTATTGTTAAGCCTTTAAATTTCTCTAAATGTTATTTTTGGGAGAGTCAAAAAAACAAGCACACTATGTCTGTGTATTACTTGCGTTTTCCTTATGGTTAAAAATATATATTTTTAAATATATTTCAAAAAAATTAAAAAATGCACAAAAATATATTTGCTAAAATATGTTTAAAAATATTTTCTTTTTTTTGTATATATTTGGACAATATATTTTAAGATATAGCTATATTTTTTAAAAGCGTTCAAAAATGTATTTTTGCAGTGCATTATTTTCAGTTCAAGAAAATACATTTGCATTTAGACTAAATGTAGGCTATACTGTAAGATTGAAAATGTATTTTCTTGGCATGTGGACCTGAGCTAATATGAACTAACAATGAACAATTGTATTTTTATTAAGTAATGTTAACGTTAACATCAAAAATGTTAGCATTTTGTTAACAGAGGCAAAATTTCATAACATCTTGTTAAAGATGTCTATTGATTTTCAAATAATATATCTAATTAAAAACATTATTAACAGTCTTATTTTTCTGTAAAGTTGCTTTGCAATGATTTGTATCATGAAAAGCGCTGTACAAATAAACTCGAATTGAATTGAATTGAATTTTTTAAACTTATTTAATTATTAATAATTAAATAATTAAGAATTAATTAAAATGTTTGTTTAAAATGGTTTATTATGGCTAAAATCTTTAAGATTTTTTAAAGCAATTGTCTTTGTCACTTGTCACTCCATTGGCCGGTTGCATAAAAAGGTTTAAACTAGTCTTACAAGTTAGTCATCAGATGTTTTTCTTTAAAACTGGTCTTTATTTTAAAATTTGGTTACAAAAAAACGTAAAATAGTCTAAGTTGGATCCAAAATAAGACTGATTACCCCTTGGCTAACTGCTAGTTGGTCAAACTAGTTCTTAAGATACTGTCTTAACATAGAGGCTAAGCTTATGCAACTGGCCCCATATGTAGTCATTTAATGTGAGTGCTCATTTAGAGCATTGAGAGCTTGTGAAAAGACTTTAGACTTCACTGTTCAGCATCCAGGACTAATTAAATGGTAATTCTTATGATTCATGCATATTCAGTAGCCCTCATGGTTCATTCATTCAATTAGTCATTTTACATGCATTTCGAATGCAACCATTGATAAGTGTTGTTAATCCTCCCCAGCGCACTGTGTGCATCCAATATTCCCAATTATTTTTAGACTTTTATTCAATAAAGCATATGAATCAGTTAATTTTTAAAAAACCAACCAATGTGCTAAAGCTGCAGCTTGAAAGATCACACCGTTTCATCTGGGTGCTATTGTCGTCACCAGTTCTTACAGGTCATAGCATTAATGAATTAAGCTTATTAATCCAACTAAAACCCAGTCATTGTCATTCACCAATGAGTCCATTTTGGACTATATATGAATCAGACGTGGTTCAGCCTGACCTTGTTTACTCGGTTATAGCAGTCACTATTGATTTTCTGATGATAACACCAGTACCACAATTCAGCACTGTGGTAACAGGTGATGTTGGAAAAGAGAGACTATTCACAGAGTTTAAAAGCCGCGGGTAGTGAGGGAAGTAATTAAGTTATATTTATCACTTTAAACAACAGAGAGTAATAGAGATTTTACAGAAAAACAAAGCTACACGAAGCTACAATCACAAACCAGCAGCACTGCAAACAGGAAGCAGGAATAACACTCTATAATCAGTCTAACATCCTCAGGAGATTAACCCTTAATTGTCTCGGCTTGATCTCTGTCCCTGTTCCAAAGTCACTCCTGAACCCCTTCAGCTACACAGCTAAGCCGTGCCTGTGTGGTAATGCAGACAGTTAGAATCAATGGATTTCTGTCGTTTGTTTTACCGTAAATTAGTCATGCGCAGTACCATTATGGTGTTTGGGCCAAGCAGTGCTAAGTGAATTTAGCAGAGATGTAATGAAATATTATTAATCACGGCAAATAATATTGTAGTAAAATTAGAGTTCTGCTTTCAATGCAACTGGGATTTTCAAAGGTTTGTAGGTGTACTGACTTTTTGACTCTCTGGAAGATTCCACTTAGAAGCAAAATTTGCATGAAGTGTTTTATATTTCAAACAAGGAAACCTCACAATTTGGTGTTTGCAAACAGTGATGACGTTTTTTGTGGGCGGAGCTTATCTGGTGGCAGAAAATGACAGTTTTCAAGTGGCGGTTTATGGAAACCATGGAATAAAAGAATAAAAAAAGGTAAAATTGAGTTAATATTTCAAAATTCTGACTTTATTCTCGCAATTCCGAGATTACATCTCACAATTCTGATATATAATATGTTCCCTTATGAACTGCATATGTGAATATTATGTAGACCAATTGTTTAAATCAAATTTATGCTTTAAAAGCAGAGTAATCATAGCAGGTTTCATTAATTAGTCTGTCCGTTTAAACGTCTGCGTTTAGCTTCAAATGGTGTTTTTGACGACAGAATTCTATAAAAATGATTTGCATTCCGATTCTGACATCCAAAGGCACAACAATGCATTTTATCTCTTATTCCGTGGATTTTTCCCGTTTCACTCCACTTGTTACCAGTATTTTTCTGCCAGCAGAATGCGCACGCAGCTATGAGTGACGTAACTGTGACGTCTACACGAAATTGGTCTATACTCCAATCAGACCATAATGTTGTCCTGTTTTTAAATTTTATTTTATTTTATTTTTGATATTTGGTAAACAAATGAAAAATAATATGAATAAATAAAAATAGTTTGTACTAGGAAACAATGTGCAAACACTTTGCATATATTAGTTACAGTTTTTTTTTTTTTTTTACATATTTTACTTTTTAATTTGCACCTCATTTAAGGGATATCACATCCAAAAATGAAAATTCTATCATCATTTACTCAACCCAGGGCCGGCCCATCGCATAGGCGAAATAGGCAAATGCTAGGTGCGCCCAAATGGGTCAGTTTTTAAGCGGAAAACAAGGAAACAATGCATCACTGCTGTCCCTGAAGCGCCACCTGCTGACAGAGAGTGAATTTGCATTTTCATTCAGCCCATCTGCTGTTTGGTATGTTTTATGTAGCCTAATTTCACAAAGCTAAAGTCAGAACATTCTGTTTTTGCTTCAGGTTTTGAAATTATACAGTCTAATTTAGATCAAAATATAGGCTAATAAAGATTGAATGAATGAATATTCTTCATGCACTCATATTTTCATTCTTTCTTGTCTTTTGCTTAAATACATAAAAAATCAGTACTGGATTCTGCCATGAAAAGTTAAGACCAGTGCATCCCTAAATTTACGAATGTCTGAAATGAAGAAATTAAGATTTAAATGTTAGTATTGTAGCTGCCTTTGGATGATACAGTTCTCTAATTTAAGCTAGCCGAGTTAATGTCAGTTTATTTATTTATTTATTGTGCAACAGTCATATTTATTTCGTATGTAATTTGTTTTATGTCATAAAGGGCACCAGCTAAAATCTTGCCTAGGGCACCAAATTGGTCAATATTGGTCACCTCATGCCATCAAAGATGTATATGACTTTCTTTCTTCAGAGGAACACAAACAAATATTTTTAGAAAAATAAACCATCTCTGTGAATCAATGCATATGACCCCAGTTGATGAATCAATGTCTTCTGAAGCAAAGCGATAGATGTAAGAAAAAAAATATATATATATATATTTTACATACGTTTTAACTTAATAAACCATTGCTTCTGGCCAACTGTCATACACGCATTATATGAATTCACAGAGATGGATTATTTTTCTAAAAATCTTTGTGTTCATCTTGAAGTAGGAAAGTCATATTGTTATGATCACTGTCTTGTGCCTCTCTGTTTTGTGTTCAAGGACTTTTATGTTGAAGTGTTTCCTGTGTTTAGTTCATGTCCCCCTTGCTCCTTTGCCTATTTTGTTTGTTTCCATAGTTACCCCTATTAGTTGTCATGGTAATTCATTAGCTCCGCCCTCCTTGTATCTTCAGTGTCCTGTGTACATATACCCCTGTTTCAGTGCTTGTTTGTCAGTCGTTGTATCCTGTAGATGTCCATGTTCTTTGTTTCATGCTCTTGTTTTCTGTTTAGCCGTGTTTGTTTTATTTTATTAATAAATCAATATAAAAAAAATTCTGCATTTGGATCTTCCTCATCTTGCTTTCATTCGACCCAGCATTACACATATAGCCTACATCTGGGATGCCATGAGAGGGAATAAATGCTGATTGTATTTTCTTTTTTGGGTGGAGTATCACTTTAAGATTAATAATCCCCATTATGCTGAATAATACCAATTTGTCTAAATTAATTTGAGTGACATTTTAAAAATAACATATCCTTATATAAAACCCTGAAAGGCTTTGAAATTAAATTGATTCCTGTGGGTTTACATTACAGCACAACAATAACGATATGTTTTTATTCCTCAAAACATTAGGTGTCCAATGTACAGATGAACAGCTGCTACTCTGCTGAAACAAATAAAATCAATGGTTTGTTTGGGTGATGAATCAGAATGCAGGCACACAGAACTGTTCAATCACAAGCTGGTCTCATGTTTTCCAGGCTTTACTGCATTTATCTTCTAGTGATATAAAAGGATAATGTTTGAATTAAAAAAAAACAAGGCCATTAAAATAGTGGCTTGAAGAATGTCCCTCTTGAAAACAGTTGTAATGTCTTGGAGAGAACACATGGATGCAACATGGCACAAAATTAGCCTGCCTATTTTTGTAACATCTGATTTATTTACAAATGCCCAAATTGAATTTTATCTCATTGCTGGAATGTGATTTGGTTGTTATTCATTGTATTGCTCCAGCATTCCTTACTTTATCATTGTGGGGAACTTACCCTTATGAATGTCCTCCCACATAGTGTAGTAGATTATGTAGTAAAGTACACAGAAACAGTTAAGTTAAAACAACTTCCAACTAAAATAGCTTTTTTGTGTGTGCTGAACTATGCAATGACTTTTGACATATGTTATGTTATGTTGCTATGTTAGCCTGACAAAAACAAACACATTTTTAAAAATATATACCGTAAACTATAGAAGTGTGTTATTTTGGGTCATACAGTATTGACTGTAAAACGGTTCTGTCTCTTCAGTAGAGTTTGGGCCAAAGTTAGGCTAAATTATGCTTAACTGCTTTAGGCTGCCTTTATTTTAGGTATGAAAAAAAAACAGGCCACTATGACTGTTGATTCCAGCGAGAAGAGCTTTAAGGTCCATCTTTTTAATTCTTTTCCATGTCTTTTGCCCAGACCTATCCATTCATGGAGAGGTTATTTTTCATTTTAAATAATTGTGCTGTTCGCAGTTTTCATGCTACCCAATCAAAACTGCTGATTTTGATAGATTACTGTCTTTTTTGGACATCAGGCTGCATGGGCGTCGGAACCATTGAATGAGGGTGGGACAGGAGGACCCACACACTTTTAAAGACCAATGATATTGGACCCAGCCATTTTACCGTCTCTAATTCAGCGAATATGTGTACTTTTCAGAGCGCCGGCAGTCAAATCTATTCCACATGACGAATGCCCTAATAAATTAAACTCCATTTAGCTACAGCCTTGAATTCCACGCTGCTGCTTCCTCAAATCCATTCCACTCGGCTCATTCAGAGTCCATATAAATGAAACTCCATTCCGTGTTTTCACTACTCGCGCCTGCTGCACTCTCGCGACACAGCAAAATAAACAAAGCATCAGCATCTGCTGCTCAGATACACCTAAACCTACCTGATACTTTATTTCAACTTTTCGATTATTTCCTTGATTTTTATTTTTATTGAAAACAAAAGCTTTTCC